AAATTTGTCGCTTGTTGTGAATCCATTTTTATGTGTCTGTTGATTTGGTCAGTCGTAGTGTGTTGATCGTCTCAGTTATGCTAATTTTTGTACGATCGGTAAGAAGAAGCGATCGAAAGAGAAAAAATTGAGTCATCATAAAAGTGCAGTAATTTGTGTAAAGTAATCATGAATTTCCCAAAGCACAATGAATAATCGATAGGATACATGAACATGTGTAACTTTGCCAGCTTATACATCGCTAGAAAATAAATATTACCTATTCTAGGTGTATACACGTTCTAGGAGTTTCTTGATGGTTGTTGGTACCTCCTCGTTGTTTGATCAGTCACCGTAGGATGATGACTGGGTGAGCAGTGCCCTTGGTTTGTCAGACGAGTACTTTGCCAAAGCATCTTGAGATGCAATACACAAGGTGCGGTTTGCTATTGCATTCGACCGATGGTGATGATAATAGAACAATCACCGTGGGATGATAACTGAGTGAGCAGTGTGCTTGTTTTCTCATGCGAGTACTTTGCCGAAGCAGCTTGAGAAGCAATACATAAGTGGTGTTTGCTCTTGCATTCGACCGATGGTGACGATAGTAGACCGGCAGAGAGTGCAAATGACGATCTTGCCATGGGATGATATTGCGCCAAAAACGTCCCATGGGGGCGGTGCATCACTGCATAGAACTACAGGCAGGTTTCAATCGAGGATCGTCATTGATAATGGGGGTGGCTTGTGGTCTTGACTGGCCTTGATGGTTCACCTGGTTTTGTGGCACCAACCTAGCATGGAGATCGGTCGGACTGACAGTCATGCTCAAGAATATTCGGCAATAGACTGACCACTAACAGGTTGAGAGCTGGGAAGGTGGTTTCTAAGACTAAGGAGAGGAAAATAGTCAAGTTTATTTCTAAAATGTCCAATCCTTCCTCAGACCTCCGGCCTCGAGTGGACCGAGATTACTCGAGGATCGAAAAATCGTTCACCCACATTTTTGTCATTGACCGATCCATTTTTTTGTCGTATGTGGGTTGATAACAAGTCAAGCCCAATGTGTCAGATCTTAGTGAAGTGAACAGGTAGTCTATCGAGATTTTTGCGGATATTATGTGGGAAAAATGTCGTGGTGGTCGAGAACGAGGGGGTCGAGATGCCACCCATTCGCTCGTCAACAAAAAAGAGGGTCGGCTGAGCTGCCCTTCCTGTGGGAGGTAGAAGCCATGTATTTTAAAGAGTAAGTGCTTGGATGTGAAAATAGCTTGAGCGTATGGTGGCTAGTTATAGGCTCAATAACCCTTGGTGGTTTCCCTTCCTCTAGCGTCATTATGTTGGTAATGGGTCGTCAACTGTTGTAACATGTATGTAATTAAGGCAACAAAATCGGAGTTATCCATTATTGTAATAGTTTAGGGAGTTAAATTTAGTATGGGAAAAAAAAAGAAACTACGGAAGTAAATTGACATTGATTTTGTCGCTCCGTAAACAGGTGCAACAAGAAGATTTAGATCTCCGAGCCTATTTTATTGGCGGAAGTATATACAAGTGTGGCTCATAGCTTGAATAACAATGGAAGCCGATCGACTGATAATATGACTATAGTGATGGCTTCTTTTATTATGGCGATGATGATACCCATTTTTCATGTCCTTTGACCTTTCAGTGAAAGTCGAATTTTATAGCCAAAATTAGGGTTTTGGCATTAAAGGCATTGTACCACCTAAGGTTGGAAGGATGATGTCGTGTGTATCTATGGAATGACCGTCTTTGGAGGATGTGGCAGGTTGAGGCAGTGTTGCAAGCTTTATCATAGCGTGCTCAGAGAGACAAAGTGCTACAACCTTTCCCGAGAAGCTTTTGTAGGAGATCGTCGTGCCGATAGAGAGATCGACAAGTCTAGCGATAACCGAATGGGCCGACTGAGGAGTGTCCTTGACAGTCGTGGGCCTGGTTTGCTTACTTGGGTTGAGATCAATTTATGGGTCACGCCATTCTTTGTGATCAGGATTTTAATGGTACAACAATATACTTCTGGTTAATCCAAAGTACACAATTTACGGAAATTTGAAACCGTGAATTGAAGACAAAAAAAAAATAAGAAAGAATAAAAAAGTAATAATTGTACTAGCAAGATTCAATTTAATATTTATATAGTTCCTTTGTTATTTGATTTTTTTAATGTTTTCATAACAAGATGAGTCATCAAACTAGTGAAGTTTTTCTTAACTAATCTGTTGATTGCTCGGACTGTTGGTTTGGAGTGTTGATTCAATGATTTTGATGCTTGAAAAAAAAAATCTATATTTTATTTATTATATTTATTAATATTTAAAATGTTTATTTATTAATATTTTAATAAATTATATAGTACTCTAAATAATAAATTTATATAATACATAATTAGTTATATGTTTACATTATTTAAAACATGAAAATGACTAAAGCATTTGATATAATAGTTGGTACACGTCATATTTATTCAAATATGTTAAGAAATTCAAGTTAATGATATATTTATTAATATTAATAAAATTATAAAGAAAAGCCCAGCAAAATAGATTTAATAATATAAAACGTTTGGCCAGCTGGATATTTTTCAGTTTGAATCCATTTTCACCGCCCGTCAACAATTGAGTTTTTACTAATATGCCTTCACCCACCCACCCCTACACCCCCTTCCATTTTTAGTATCCTTTTATATACCTTTATTGTCCGTTTTTAGTTACATTTCAAATTGGACTTCGACAAGATGGTACACTCTCCGATCTAAAATAATGAAGTTGGTGATTAAAAAGAAGTAAATTTGTGACCATCACATAAATGTGGATGCTCGAATAAATTTAAAAAACGAAGATTAATTTATTTCCTCAACGTCACTTAATAATTCACTCCATTAAATTAAGTGTCAAAAAAGTTAAATTGTTAATTTGATGGGTGATGCAATGGATAAAACTTTGTAAATGTTTGTCGTTGTATATAGTAACTCTGTTGACGGTAGACATCAACCATAATAATAAGACGGATTAATAGCCTAATTATGTGGGCTAAAGATAATGGTTATTTCACATTCAAAAAGAGATTAATGTGATTCAATGAGCTATGTATTGATACGAAGGTATTGTCGACCTTGAATGAGAGATCGGCACAACAAAAGAGGCCATAAGAGTAATATATTTAGGGGAACTTTGTTGTAATTTTGATGTCCTCTTATGTGCCTCAAGGACCGAATTTATACATAGAAAAAATAAAAAAAAATCATCATCACTACTAACCAACTAAGGGTGTAAGAGAGTAAAACGTGTCCCCTTGCAAAAATACGTTTTTTATGATGGGATCTGCTTGTTGGTCACTTTAGTTTGTTGTTAGTTACTGTTTACACTACATATAGGGCATCTGAGTTAAAAAGTGGATCAGCGGTAGTATGGCTTCTTGGGCTCGCAGTTTAGATCCATGTAGAGGCAGGTTGCTCTCCATTGTAATTAATGCACTTCTGACTTAGAGCATCTCCAACCATGCCCTCTATACATACACTTTCTACAGTAAAATCCCACTAGTTATACAGTTTCAACAGTGTCAGCAGCTCCAACCCATTCCCTCTATAATTTCCCTCTAAATATTCCAAGCATGTTCTTTTCTAATTTAATTAGTTTATTAAATAATCTCTACAAATTACATTTTAATGCATTATGCTTGCTAAATTTTACATATTTATGTATATAAATTAATTATTGATAATAAGATTAATTAATAAATTTAAATCAAAATTATAAAATTACACACTACATCATAAAACAACATGGATTTCATCACAAACATTAATTTGAAAAAAAAAATCAACACAAACATGAAGCATTAAATACAATAAGAACTACGGAAAATAAAATACAACAGTAGTTATTGCCATGAGAATATTTTTCCCACAAATGTGCAACCAATGCATTACGAAGTTCATAGTGGGCAGACTTATTTTTTATTCTTTTGTGTCGAGCAAGAAATTGTTGAAAAGATGCGTGATCTCGCGGTGCTGGAGTAACCGTAGGAGCACCAAATTGAACATCACTTCTAATTGGTGCACTAAGATCCCGTTGCTCTTCGACATTCATATTGTGCAAAATAATACATGCTTTCATTATATCATTAAGCACCCCTTTTTTCCAAAAATGAACAGGACCCGAAACGATTGCAAACCTTTTTTGCAAAACTCCAAATGCACGCTCAACATCTTTTCTACATGCCTCTTGTCTCATTTTAAAGTATTCCTCCATTGGATTTGATGGTGCAACAAAAGACTGAACAATAGTGGACCATTTTGGATATATACCATCTGCTAAATAATAGCCCATATTAAACTGTTTACCTTGAATGGTGTAATTAGCTGGTGGAGCGTTACCTTCAGCAAGATTTGACATTAGAGGTGATGCTTCCAGCACATTAATGTCATTATTCGCACCTGGCATACCAAAATATGTGTGCCATATCCATAGATCATAATCTGCCACAACTTCCAAAATGATCGTTGGCTTTCCGGAACGTCCAACGTATTGACCAGCCCATGCCTTAGGGCAATTCTCCCATTCCCAATGCATGCAAATGGGAGCAAAGAAAGCAAAAATTGAAGAAAGCAAAATCGATGAAGAAAAATGAAGACCAATTTTGCCAATATTTTCAAGCTCTAAATGCTAAAAGTGATACTAATGTTGATTTGTTGCAGAAAGCCGAAGAACGTCAAAATGTCCAACTTCAATTGCAGAAACAACAAATTGATTTGCAGAAAAAGTGGGATGAAGATAGTATTTTGAGGATAGATTTGAATTCCTTTACGAATCCCATGATACGTCGACATTGGGAACAAAAGCAAATGCAAATTTTACAAGAAAGAGAAATTAAGCAACGACAATCTCAAGCAACACAACCATCATCTAACACGGGCCAATTTGGATTCCTCGACGACATCGGGCATGATGGAGGAAATTTGAATGATTATTATGGTGACAATTAAGTCTATGGAATCGTCTATTTTATAATCCTTTTTTAGTTTTTATTTTTTATGTTCCGTATGATTATTGTTGTTGTAGTATGTGTGAGCTTTAAGATGAGTTTTTTAGTTTATCTTTATGTTGTGTTTTTAATTTTAGTGTTTGTACCGTTAATTTTAAGTGAGTTGAATGTT